GGTACATGGCAGGATGCACTGCATATTAGTATATTTAATAATCATAAACGTTGCCTTTGTTGTTCTGTATTCCTTTTTTGTTGAGCATGTTGCAATGAGAGAGAGAGAGAGAAAAAAAAAACAAATAAGAAGAGAGAGAACCAGACGTGCACAACAGAGAACCACGTGCACAAGCACAGAGAACAAAAACGCACCCAGAACACACATGCACACAAACATCTGCAACCAGACACGTGTGTGCACACACAGGCAGACAAACACAGAACCAGATGCTAGGCTTGGAGCGGGTGGGAGTTAGGTGGGCTCAGCTGCTGCCAGCCACGAAGCCCGGGATGCTTCCCAGCAGGCAGCTTGCTGGCTGCAAGCCCTGCTGCAAGCAGACTGGGCTCCATGATTGGCAGCAGCTACCCAAAGCCTGGGCCAGTTGCAGCCAGGAGGCTGCAAACACCTGCTCCGGACTCCGGCATCAGCATACCAGTGGGTGCATGTGTGCCTCAGAGCAGATGGTGGGGATAGGGCCTGAGGCAGCACAGCCCTTCTGCTATCCGCTCTGAGGTGCACGTGCAGTCACTGCCAGCATGGAGCTGTGAAGCCTGGCGCAGGTCTTGGCAGCCTGCTTGCTGCCTGCTGCAGCTGCCCAGAGCCCAGGCTGGCTACAAACAGCTGCTCCAAGCTCCAGAGCCCAGTCATCAGCTCTGTGCCAGCAGTGCCTCAGGCCCCCCCCACCACTGTCTGCTCCGAGGCGCACGTGCACCCGCCGGCATGGAGCTAATGCTGGAGCAGATGTTTGCAGCCTCCTGTCTGCAACCAGCCCGGGCTTTGGGTAGCTGCTGCCAACCACAGAGCTTGGTCTGCTTCCAGCTGGGCTTGCAGACACCCAGCTGCCTGCTGGGAGCAGCCCAGGCTTCATGGCTGGTAGCAGCTGCCTAGAGCCCAGGCTAGCGGTAGTGTGCTGAGCAAAATGGCCTTGCATGCCATGCTTGGCACACATGCCGGGGGGGGGGTGCTGACCCCTGCTCTAGAGCATTTCTTCTTAATTAAAAAGAAAGGGGCCATGTTACCAAAGGGCATAGTGTTTTGTTACCAGTCACAAACTAAGCATACATGTGCCAGGAGGTGGGTAGATAGTAAATAACAGAGGTTTATAGGAAAAAAAATATCAGGAGCATGAGACCTTTCCTATATGTTGAGACATCTCATGGTAAACACCAAGCAGAAGTGTTGTATTGGCTACCTCTTAAAAGACTAGGTGGGGGAGAGCTGCTGCTACATGTGCAAATACTGCATCTCTGCAGGAGATTATCGGAAAAGGATGCACATCCAGAACAAGCTCCTCTGGAAAGTGACACTAAAAGGAGTTGTTCTCCCCTAGCCTTTCTTACCTTTCAGGGGCTATTGAGGTTTTCTCCCTGCTCACTGTGAGCTTACTGGCTCCAGAAAAATGAGGTTAACTGTTATTTACCTGTGTAAGCATTTGGGCCCTGGGGATTAGGGCAGGAACCCTCCTTTCCCCTCTCCCCACAAAAAAAAGCTTAATCTGGATGCACGTGGGGCATTGATTTCTTTGATTAAAGCTGTACGCACCACACAGGAACTTCTTTTTTCTTTATTATTATTTTTTTTTAAGTTTTCAGGTATGAGGGTTTGGCTTACTATCCCAACACCGCTTTGAAGGGAGAGGGAGGACACTGTTTAGTCTGTTTTCTCTTCCATTCGCAGAACCTCTTCTTCCTGGCCAGGAAGAGGAGGTGAAATAAGAGAGATGCACTGTCCTTTTGAACATGGTTGTTTCAGAATTTGGGTACTGATCCTACAGGCTTGTACATGTAGTTGGTTTTGTAGATTTTGAGCAATCACAGTGGCATCAAGTCATACATAGAAGCAAGGTTTGTTAGATGATGTATTTTATTAACACAACTATATAGTTGGGTGAGATGTTAGACACGCTTTGGGGTAAAAAAAATGTCCTTCCTCAGGTCTGAGAGAAGCAGGTAACAGCCTAAGATAAACAGTAGCTAAAACAATGCCTTTTGTTTAACTCCGTTATGTAACTAAAAAATAGTCGCTTAAAGAAAGAGAAAAGAGTAATAAATCTGTGGCAAAAGAAAAGTTATCAGAAGTAACAAAAACACTCTGACCCAAGTAGATTGCTTAAGACTAGCACGTGTATAAGTCTTCACTGGTTTGGTAATTTCATTTTTTTAAACTCACAGTTTGTTGTCAGTAAAGTGATTACCACGATAGTAAAGTAAATATGTGCTTATTTGTACATCTCATTGTTAAGTGTATATGCATATTGTGAAGTTATTGGCAGTTGTATTTTATAAGACTTATCTTTGTGAGCAATTTATGTTCTGTGTTTGAATAAAGACATAAGATTTATATTCTGGGAAAATATGGAAGGTAACATCACACAAAGCAGCTAAGCAATAGCCTACTGATGAAATTCAGTATTTTATTCTAAACTTGTTTTTTTGTTTGTTTTTTTTAACCAAATGGGCAAGTTTCTATGGTATTCCTAGGGAATACTTGATAGTTCCCTCTCAAGTTCTGCATTTTTTTCCAGGTATAACAACAAAACCTACCGTATTGATGATATCAATTGGTCTGTGAAGCCAACTGACACTTTTCCAAAACGAGATGGCACTGACATCTCTTATGTTGATTATTATAAACAGGTGAGTAATGTAAGCCATTGCCAAATAATAATAATAATCATAAAACAAAGAAAATTCTATATTACTGGTTTCTGAATGCACGGCTGCTATCAGCATGAGTAGATTTTCTTATGTTAAGAACAAATGTGCATGAAGGGATCTTAAATAGAAAAAAGGAAATATTGCTAGTTCCATGATGTATATTAGCATTACAGTATTAATATTTAAGATTACTTTTAAAATAGATTTTTGGTAACTTTTTGCTATGTTCCAGTTTTGAGTAATGTTATTAGAAGTGCAGGATAAAAACCTAGGGCTGGAATCCCAGATATACCAGACCCCACTATGTGTCCTTTCCTGAATGACCAGGTCACTTTTCTATAACCAGGTCACTAAAAGCTTAGATGCAGGAGTCAAAGTAGATATAATCTACTTGGACTTTAAGAAGGCCTTCGACATAGTATCCCGTCCTATTCTCATAAACAAATTGAACAGCTGTGCCATAGATGATTACCTAGTCATGTGGGTGGCAAATTGGCTTAAGGGTCGTACCCAGAGAGTGGTGGTGGGTGGGTTGGTATTGACCTGGAAAGATGTGGGCACTATGTTCATCAGCGACCTGGATGAGAGCGTGGAAAGCACTCTGTCCAAATTCGCAGATGACACCAAACTATGGGGCAAAGTAAACACTGATGGGAAGAAACCGAATCCAGGCAGACCTGGACAGGTTAGAGAAGTGGGCAGAGAACAACGGGATGCAGTTCAGCAAGGACCAGTGCAAGGTGCTGCACCTAGGGAGAGGGAATCATCAACACACCTATAGGCTGGGGGATGACCTTCTCAGCAGCACAGCGGCAGAAAGAGATCTCGGAGTCATTGTCAACTCCAAGATGAATGCGAGTCGTCAACGTGACAAAGCAATTAGCAGAGCTAACTGCACTTTGTCATGCATTAGTAGGTGCATCACGAATAGGTCCAGGGAGGTGATGCTTCCCCTCTAGGCGGTACTGGTCAGGCTGCAGCTAGAGTACTGCATCCAGTTCTGGGCACCGCAATTCAAAACAGATGTGGACAACCTCGAGAGGGTCCAGCAGAGGGCCACTTGTATGGTTAGAGGCCTGCAGGGAAGGCCCGATGAGGAAAGGCTGAGGTACCTGGCCATTTTCAGCCTCCGCAAGAGAAGGCTGAGGGGGGATCTTCATAGATTTCATAGACACTAGGGCTGGAAGGGACCCCGGAAGATCATTCGAGTCCAGGCCCCTGCCCCAGGGGCAGGAAGTCAGCTGGGGTCATAGGATCCCAGCAAGATAAACATCCAAATGTCTCAAAGTGGGTGCTTGAACTGCCTCCAGCGGCAGTCTATTTCAAACCTTGGGGGCTTGGACAGTAAAGAAGTTCTTCCTTATGTCCAGCCTGAAACAGTCCTGGAGCAGTTTGTGACCATTTGACCTTGTCATCCCTTGGGGCGCTCTGAACAGACGTTCCCCCCAGATCCTGGTGAACACCCCTGATAATTTTGTAGGTGGCCACCAGATCACCCCTGAGCCTGCGCTTTTCCAGGCTGAAGAGTCCCGTGGCTCTCAGCCTCTCTTCATAAGGTCTGTTTTCCTGACCTCTGATCATGCGCATAGCTCTCCTCTGGACTCTCTCAAGCTTCTCCACATCCCTTTTGAATTGTGGAGCCCAAAACTGGATGCAGTACTCCAGCTGCGGCCTCACGAAGGCTGAGTACAACGGGAGAATGATGTCCCAGGATTTGCTTGAGAAGATCTTGTGGCAGTATACAAATTCACCTGGGGGGGGCAGCAGGGAATAGGAGATGCTCTGTTTACCAGAGCACCCCTTGGAATAACCAGGAACAACGGCCACAAGCTGATAGAGTAGATTTAGGTTGGACATCAGGAGGAACTTCTTCACAGTAAGCGTTGCCAGAATCTGGAATGGGCTTCCAAGGGAGGTGGTGCTCTCCGCTACTTTGGGGATCTTCAAGAAGATACTGGACAAGCACCTGGCTGGGGTCACATGATCCGAGCACTTTTTCCTGCCACAGGCAGGGGGTCAAGCTCGATGATACATTGAGGTCCCTTCCGGCCCTAGCATCTATGAATCTTGGGGGAGCCTTAGGCACCTTTTGAAATGTGGAACCATATCAGGGCTCTGCTAAGCTATGCTGAGCTGGCTATGGCTCCTAGGGTATAATTGCTGGCCAGGGATAATTGGAAAAATATAATTTTAGGCCCAGCATGCTCTCTGCTCTTGGAAAGCCAGGAATTGCTGGTGTAGAAAAGTCTGCCAGCTCTATCACAGAGGAATCTGTCCGTATGAAAGAAGTCCCTGTTTGGTTAGGGAAGGCAGCCTTCCATTCCCTTTGTACCACAGGAGGGACGTTATTTTATATAATTTTTGTTGACAAAGTGAATGGGGTTTTATTTTACAGCTCCAAATACAGGCTTTGGAATTGCTTGCAATTTGTGAGCCAATTTGACTAGTTATTGGAACACACTACAGTTGCTCCTGATTATCTTGTTCTCTTCCTGTTCCATTCACAGCAGTATGAAGTTGTCCTAAGTGATCTAAATCAGCCAATGCTTGTTAGCCGGTTGAAAAATAAACAGAAAGACAGCATTGAGCCTCGTATCGTCCACCTGATCCCTGAGCTGTGCTATCTAACAGGTAAACAGCATGTAATTTATAAATCATATACAATCCAACAGCCAACTGAAGTTATCTGACAGCAAGAGAGGACAAGGAACACTAGAGGAGCATTTAATGAGCAAAATGCCAGCATATTAAGCTGACTCAGTGTAAAGCAGTGTGCACATGTTTGTATAAACATATGCATTTAAATGATAATGGCATCACTCTGGGAAATGGATTTATTTCTAGCTTACAAAAGGTAGGTCTGTAAATTATGCACTTTACTCTGTCATTTAATTAGTTGCTTTTCTTTGATAGTGTCATTGAAAAATATAAAACTGTTTTGTGTAATACTAAATGCTTTCCAATTTAATAAATCTTCCATCCCACTTTGCCATATGATCTGCATGAGGGAAAAAAAAAAGGCATTTAAATTAGGATGGAAACCAGATGCTGTGTGAAGAGTGCTGCAGTAGGCGATAGAACAGTAATTCAGAGTCTCTTGTCTTTTCCATTATACCCTGGATACTTGATCTGTTTGGAAACTAGAAAAAAAATATACTGGAGGGTGGCAGAAGTGCAAAAAAAGTCACCCCAAGAAAATAATAGGATGAACGGTTCACAGTTTGTACCGTGTATAGATATTTACGCCTGGGTAAAGTGAGTTTAAAACATTAGGGTAGCAATCTGTAAAATATTAGTAGCCTTCTGTTTGGTAGCTACTGATGACCACTTTGTCCAAGCGTGACTGACTTGACAGGATAGTTGCCAGTTTTTACAACTGTTCAGTTCCCTTGAGTTAATTTGTGTTGCACCAGTAAAAATGGGTAAAAGGCCACAAGATAGATTTGTTTTTACTGAGTGAGCAGCTGCCTGGTTCTCTTCATCGGCCCTTCCACAACAGTGTAATGCCATTGCTATAGCCAGTGTTGTCTTCTGTTGAGGACTGGCTGCATTCTGGAGTGAGCTGGTCTTTTGGAAAGTTGTCCCGAAGTTATTTTTCTTTTAAAGAAAATGTGTTTAGAGGAGAATATAAGGTCCCTTACTTCTGGAAGAGCTTAGAGGGCTCTGTCTCTGATCTCGGAGCATGAGACAGAAGAATTCCCTTCAGCGGTCAAGGTTATTTTAGCCTATGTGGTATCTGTGAGTTGCAGTGAGACCCCTCAGAGCTAACAGGTTGGGATGGAAGGAAACCAAGCTATCTTCTAGTGTCAGATTAATTGAGTGAGGGGAAGGACATGAGCAGCTAAGAGCAGAGTTTCCATGGGACTTTTGTCCAGGTTATTGAGTATCTTTGGGTCTCTCATGATTTTTAAGAATGCGGGGTTGGGGTTGTTTAATTCTTGAGTTCTCTGTTCCATGTGTGTGGCTTTGATCTACTGTTTGGTCTTGATCTAGGGAGTTTACGAAAAATTCGTACTTGGGAAGTAGGGCTTGTCTTGACCCAAAACATCTGTTAATGAACCACTGAACTACAAGCAGTGGTATTTCTGTGGGAGCTTGAGGGAATTTGGGACCTTTATTGGATAAATGTTGTTTAACAGGGATGAGAGTCATCAGTTAGTGACATAACCTGGACACTAGGGCTGAGTGAACCGTTGGTAGCTGATTCAATTCAAAGGAGATTTGGCCCAATTTGGCGGCCAAATCTCCGAATCCGAATCAAAACGGGAGACTAGTTGAAAGTGCCGGATCAAATTGGAAGCCTCCGAAACAATTCGGAAATGATTCGGCCCAATTCAGCGATTCAGCCATAGGCTAAACAGGCAGCAATCCTTGAGGACGCTGGACTCAGCTGCCTCCAGCTGGTAAGTCTGTTGTGGTGGGTGGGGGAGGGAGGGAAGGGGTGTCAGGGGGCAGATCAACACCCCCACAGCAAGGGAGGGATTGGGGCGGGGGCTGGGACAAGCTGCCCAGCCGGGGAAAGGGGACACAAGACTCGGGGAGGGGAGCTCCTGCCACTGCCTGCTGCCAGTCTGGGAGGGCATGGGAGCGGGAGTATGCCCCCAGATCTGTGCGGGCTGGGCTGGGCCGGGCTGTGCTCTGGAAGGCTAGCTTCAGCCCAGCCGCAGCTGTAGCCCCAGCCGCAGCCCAGAGCACAGCCTTGGCTCTGCCCATCCTGCAGAGTGCAGTGGAGCAGGGGCTGTGTGGGGGCTGCAGCCACCCTAAAATGTCTCATAGCCCCTGCCACCAAGCCAGGCCTGATCCAGGTGCACACACCCTCCCCCATACCCTGCCGCTGCTCACCCAGCTGGGACGAAGCCACGGCTTGCCTAGGAGGCATGGGTAAGCTGGGTGAGTGGCAGGAGGGCATAGCCCCTGCTCTGAGCACCTTCCACTGCCTGTCCGGAGTGTGGCCCGCCCCGCACAGATCCGGAGGCACACGCTCACTCCCATGCCCTCCGAGAACAACAGCGCATGGTGGCGGGAGCCCCCCTCCCTGAATCCCGCGTCCAGGGGGTGGGAGTGGTGAATCAGGGTGACTGCCCCAGGCCCCGCGAACGGTCCCATACAGGCCCTGCAGCAGTCTCCATGCGCTGCCGCTGCCAAGCCCCACTGGCTCTGCTGCTGCTGTGCACTGCTGGCTCCAGCTACTCTGGCTGCTTGCCACCTCTTTCCCCTTCCTCCCCCTCAACCCCACTCCACTGGCTCCAGCCGCCCTCCAGCCCTGCACACCCCTATGGACGACTCTGCCCACGCCCCCCAGCCCAAATCTCTCCCTCGCTGTGGGGGTGTTGATCTCCCCCTCCACATCCCTTCCCTCCCCCCTCCACCTACCACAACAGACTTACCAGCTAGAGGCAGCCAGCAGTGTCCAGTGTGGTGAGGACTGCTGCCTGTTTAGTCTATGGCCGAATCTTTGAAGTGGCGCCAAATCTTCGGATCTAATTCGTCTGAATTGAATCAGGACGGTGATTCGAATCACTGTCCCTCCAAATTGACTGAATCCAAAGCGAATACTTGCTGCTTCGCACAGTCCTACTAACCACTACAAGAAAGAGATAAGATTTTGAGATCAGTTGGAGAGACTCCTTTTGCTTTTGTCTGCATTTATACTGGTGGCAGTTTACCAGGCACCTTTCCACAGATCCTGGATAACTTGGGGAACCGGCAAAGAAGATGGAGAGGAGTATGCAAATTAACCTCTTGGAAATCCTTACCATCACCAAGAGAGAGAAAAGAAAGGAGGCAAAACATGCTGGAGGTGAACATCTAGTTAAGTAGTGTGAAGGGGGAAGGTCTTGGTTTTGTTAAAGTCTGGAGCACCTGCATGTTGTTCTGAAGGTGTCTGGCTAGTGGCTGAGTACCCGTATCCTCAGTGACTTTAAATAAATCATAATGGAGAAAGGTGGTAGCTGATGGATCATGGTACAAATACCCCAATATGTAAAACAGCCCCCAAAGGTATCTCTAAGAGGGTGGTCTGGCCCTATAAGAGGGAGCAGGCAGCACTGAAGTCTAGCTGTGGGCATTTAGGATAGTGAGGGACTATCCCACTAGTAGCTTAAAATCCCAGAGAAGAGAGCAGGGGCCATAAAAATGAGTGACGGAGCAGTTTGCAGGTGGGAGGTGTACTGAGACTCAATTAATTTGCTGCCACAAAGGGACCCCACAACTGTGCTGGGCCAGAGCCAAAGGGGCCTTCCTGCTGCCTGCACAAGGCTAACTGAGGACAGAGGGAAAGTTTTATGGCTGACCATTTTGTGAAACGTCAGAAACATGGAACATTTCCAGCTCTGGATACTTAGATTTTATTTGCTGTTTTGTTTGCTTGGTGCAAGGACTATATTTTTGTATTTAAAGGACTGGTTGAAGGGCTCCTTAGGGAACAAAGGCAGCCTGCAAGGCTGCGGGCTCACCAACCTGCATGCAGTATCACAGATAGCATGCATCCAAGCAAATAGGGCATGTAAGGGACACATTTTTAATGGTGTACAGTATATGCAAATGCTAGTGATAAATAAAAGGACTTGAAGATGCTCTAAAAAAGAACTATGTTGTTAATATTAATGAAAGTTGGTGGAAGTGGGTCATATAATTAGAAAAACGGCTGTCTGTAAGTACTGAGATTTTTTTTTTATTAGTGATTGACACAAAATAGGCCTGGACTATGGTTTTGTTTTTTCAGTATAGTCATACGTTACTTTGCCTCCATTGTGCTTCTCTGTCATTTCAGAAAGAGAAACCTTAGATCAGTACAGCAACTTCTCTCCTAATATAGGTCTTTGGAATTTTTATGAGGGTTTTGTGCCTTTTACTTTGACCATTTTTGTCAGCATTTAACAATTATTTTCCCTTTTACTACACAGCTTCTTTAATTGCTTATGAATGTAGTTGTATGTACGTGCCGCAGTGGAGAGAGGGAGTAGGCTTATAATTTAGATACTTAATAATCAAGAGAAACTTCTTGTTTCCCTTGCAGGAAACGGACCTCTTATTTTAGTCTACTTACAAACTATTATACACTTAAAACAACATTTTATAGAGCATGTAGAGCCAGCACTCAAAATTGCTGTGAAAAAATCATGGAACAAACAGTATAAATCTTTTTGCTAAAGAAACACCTGATTATGTTGCATATGAGATAGTGATTAGAAATAAGCATTTCCTTGCTTCTCTGTTGTTCCTTTATAGTGTGCCTGTCTACTGTGACTTAATCTAAACCTGGGATGAATCCAGTGAATACAAATTTATCAGAGCATAGTTTGGCTCCTTGTCAGTATTGGACAAGATTGGAATATAATTCTGACCCAATGTAAAATTCATAAATAGGCAGCCACAGGAAATATGGTATAAACAGTTATGCTTCTTGGATTGATATTTATTTTTGAAGCAAATCAAAAACTTTGGATCACCTGGATCATTTTGATTCAATTACACCAGATTAAGCTAAGGGGACTCTGCTGCAGAGAATCTAAAATTGAGAAGGAGCCACACTAAGATGTTGGCCAGTGCTGTGACGATCTGGCGTACTGAGAGAAGTGTGATTGCTTGTATACATTAAGGGTACATAAATTGATGCCAGTAAGGGTGTCTGTGGCACACTGTGAAAACACTCATGGGGGCACAATACCTGACATAATTTTAATGTAAATCTGAAGGAGGAAAAGGTTCCTATTTCAGTAATCTGTGATTTCGACATTGTGTGGTAGAAAGAAATCTAATGGCTATTATCAACCTAGACACTTCAGAGGGGTTTTTGGCAATGGCTTTAAGATGTGGCAGAAGAAAGGCCAGTGTTTTTCCAAGACTGGTAGCGGATGTTACCATTTAGTTCCCCAACAGCCACGAGATTCACAGACAACAATACTCTACACCTGAGTTTAAATTCCTCACCTTTCTTTTGTATTCAGTGCCCACAGACTTCCAATAAGTTAGTCTGGAGGTCATGCCCAGGACTAGGCAGATTGCACCATGGCATGCTGGGTTTTGTCTATCAAAGGAAAGGTTTGGCCTTCATTATTTTATGGGGAATTTCTTTTGTTTGTATGCATTTTGTGTGTGCAATTACAGGTGTAGCTACTGCTTCTGACTGAATTGCATGCCTAGTACATAGCAGAATCTAAGTATTTTTGTCAACTTTCCTTTCCTCATCCCAGCCCACTCATTTATCTTATTCTACTCTTATAGCCTTTAAATTAGAAGGGTTTGGGTGATAGGAGTTGTCATTTCCTATTCATTTATACAGTGCCTTGCATAAAGGAGTCCAACCAGGATGCGGCTTCTACCTATCTATTAGGGCTGTGCAAAATTTTGCCGACTGTTTCAATTCGACACTGTTTTGACTCATTTTGAGCTCAAAACAGTGGAATCAAACTGAAATTAAGGGCTTTGAAACAGCCTCGACACAAAATGAGGCTAGTTGAAACGTTTCAAAAGTTTTGAAACGTTTTGAGTTTTGAAGCCAGCAGCAAGGTGGTGAGAGACAGGGGAGAACCAGGGCTGCGCTCCCAGCAGCAGCTGGGAGCGCAGTCCTGGGTCTCCCCGTTTCCCGCTGTCAGGCTGCAGGAAGCCAATAACAGTGCAGGGGAAGGGAACTGAGCCTGGGCTCAGTTCCTCCCCCTCGGTGCTGCGATGGGGTGGGGGCAGGGAGTCAGCCCAGCTAACTCTCTGGCCCTGCCTGATCGCAGCACCGGGGATGGGGTGTCAGCCCAGCTGGGCTGACTCCCCGCCCCCGGCCCCATCGAGCAAAATCTCGAAACAGCATCGAAACAGCCTCACTGTTTCGACAAAGCAAAACAGAACAGCTGTTTCAAATCAAAATGAAATTGGAAACGGAACACTGTTCCGTGGAAACCTCGAAACTGAAGACCAAATGGAACAGTGTTGTTTCGCACAACCCTGCTATCCATCCATCCATCCATCACATTTAGATACCAGGATGATCATAACTACTCGAGATCAGTGCCTTTTCTGGAATATGTTTGTTTAAGAAGTTGTGGAAAGATGTTGTCATTGATTCCCCAGGGAAGCATTTGCTTGGGACCCACAGCTTCATACAATTTCTTTGAGTATTACTTGAAGTCAGCTCAGGCGTTACTTCTAGAGTAGGTGAGCCCTTGAATCCTTGGACTTTGAGATGTGGCTTTGTGGTCTCTGACCTCCCCAGGGAGCTACCTTCTAGCTTAGCTCCTAGAGAGTCTGCAGCAAAGCAGATTGCTTCATAAAACAAAACCAACTTTTATTGGTCAACAGCAATACATCAAGCAGAGTTCTTTAGTCACAAGGTCTAGGCCTACTCCGAGAGAGTCTCTGTCAGGTAAATATTGCCTCCCTCTTTCCCCACACTATTCTGTCTCAAGACCTTACTCTCCTTGTCTTGCATGTTTTTCTCTCTCCTTTTCAAGCCAGTCTCTTGGCACTGAATCTTTGAAGTCCCTTTTTTTGGCATGAAAAGCAGTCTCAAGGTGTTGGGGCTAAAATCTACTTGGGCTATGGTGTGTCAGCATATGTAAATTGGTCTGTTCTTTTGGCCTACTCCCCCTTAGTGGAGCACTTCAGCAGATCCTCACAAAACTCTTTTAACCTATACTTTTTCTATGTGCAAGCTATTCAGGAAAACTGAGGCATACAACATTATTATTATAAACGCATTTAACCCCAAAATACCGTATGCAGTACTATAATCTATCACAGACATTCTGTTTTTTATACTTTGCCTTCACTTTCATTGGTAGGTTTGACCAGTCGAGCAAGAGCTGACTATCGACTGATGAAGGATTTGGTTCAGGAAACTCGCCTGAATCCTGAGCGTAGGCAGCAGAGGTTGTCAAGACTCACTGACAACATTCAGAGGTAATATCACGTAAAAACTAAAGTTAATATAAAAATAAACCCTCAACAGCTACCTTCCTGCCTCTAGGATGGAAATCAGACTTCTGCCTGAGCTCCTAAGTAAAATGAGTGTTGGGATGATGTGATCTGCTGACAATTCATGGTCTTTTATGCCTTACTAGACTGTCAGGCACCATCTCATTCTATACAAATGCAGAAGAGGAAGAAAAGATTATTGAAAACCTGAGCACTCCAAAAAAAGAAAATCCTGCAAAACATTCTGGTCCAATTTGCACAAGATACAAAACCAGGAGCAGTTGCAGTTACTTAGCACCGGTGACATGATTAAAATTCAAAGGGATCATGAAAAAGTGCAGAACTGGGCAATAGGCAACAAAATGCAAATCAACAAAGATGATGGTAAGGTTCCACACATGGGTATTTGACTCTCTTTCCTGAAGTACTTAATGGGAGATAACTGAACTGACTTGGATCTTCTGAGGGTTATGGTGGATCACAAAGGCAATAGGAATTATCCCTGTGTTTGTGTCAGAAATGCAAATTTGGATTGCACTGACAGAAGCATTGTATGCAAAACTTAGCAGGTCATAATACAATTTTACTCAGTGTTGGTTAGTTTGGAGTATTAGTTCATTTAGCTAGTGTAATTCTGAGCACCATATTTTAAGAAGGATGTTGAGAAACTAGAGAGGATCCAGAGGTGAGTGATAAAGATGAACAAAGGGTCACCATATGAGAAGTTGTAGAAAGTAGGTGTATTTAGTGTGAAGATGAGTTTAAGGGGGAACATGTTAGCTGTTTTTTAATATTTGAAATGTTGCTATAAGGAAGAGTGACAAAAATTATTGTCCTTTGCCACAGAGGGCAGGACAAGAGGGAGTAGGTTTAAACAACAGCAAAAACAGAATTAGTTGGAAAAACTTCCCATCAGAACAGCGGAGTAATGGGGCAAGCTGCCCGGAGAGGTTGAGACATCTCCCTCACTGGATGTTTTTAAAAAGAGTTTGGATACAAATTTGTATGGAGTGGAAGCCTTCTGTGTGTGTTTTGGGGGGGGGGGGGTGAGAGGGAATGGGTTTAGTTAGATGATCCCTGTTTTCGAACTCTAACCCTTCAGTTCTGTGGTTCATGAATCATACAGTAGCCTGGTTTCAAGCTTACAGAGAACGATTTTGAGACACAGCTAAAATATAGGTTGTTCTTTTCTCTGCCATAGTCATAGCACATTGAAAGTGTGCCAAGGACAATCTTTTGTAAATTAGGGCCCATGACATAGTGGGTTTTTTTTATTTTTGAGGGATTTTTACCCCCTACATACTGTAAAGGGACCAAAAACAAGAGAATGCATCATTAAGAGAGTCTTCTGCAGAAGTTTGCTTAGTAGCTGAGCAGCTGTAACAGCCATAAACTTTTAGTAGCATATTAGCTCAGTTTATAGCACTGCCAGTTTTTCAGTTGAAGGCTCAGTATTGCAGCTATGGAAGTCAATGGGTGAGTTGACACTGATTACCATTAATGAGCATCTTAGAAACTATCATATTCAGATCAGTATGTGGGGGTGTTGTGTGTAACTTAAGCACTGTTTAACTATTTTTCTTTTAAATTGATAAATGTGTGTGTGCATGTATATGTGAGTTTGTGTGTATGTATGTATATATACATATGAGATGCATGCATACACACGTATGCATCTCATGTATATATATGGGATACATATAGGTAGAATATGTATAGGTTTTCATATATTATATTAGAATTATGTATGTATGTATAGATCTCCTATTTGGAAATGGAAAGGGATGAAAGAATGATAATGCTATTTACATCACTGAACAGTTTCCCCATGCAGCTGTGCTAAGCTTTCGGATGGATTGATGAAAGCAATATACCTCATCTCTCATGCTTTATTGCTAATGACAAAAGCATACAGAAATTTATGTGGGTATTGCAAAACTTCTGCTTTATTATAAGACAAGATTCCATAATATCTAACATTTTTCATACAGTAGAAATTATTTTTAATCATTTTTATTTTTAAATGTCTCTACTGGACTCAGTACTTAGGTTTATATTTTGCCAATGTTGATTAGTATCGACAAGAGGGGAAATAAGCGTAAGAGCAGCAGTGAAGCTATGTGTCAGAGTGAAAATATATTGAGAAGAAAAGCATAAGAGTTGTGTAGCTGAGGACAAGAATAGGGGAGCTTTATGGCTATGAGAGAAATCAGGGGTTAAAAAGAGACAAAAACAGGCTTTGGGCTTGAAACCATCTTACCGTATTTAAAATGAACACCACTTTCAAATCAGTGTTGGGTCCTTAATTGTACGCACCATGCACACGTAAGTCGCACCATGACTTACAATATGACTAGACCCCTAGATGGAGTAATAGTACCATAATTCTTGTTTGTGGCTTTATTTACAGTGCACTAGCTGGTGAAGACTAGTTGACTTACAATATTTTGTGACTTTAATATTACTGAATACTCTAGATAACTATTCTAACCAGCTGTTACTTTTTCTTGTCTGAGAAATTAAAATAGATTAAAAAACACATTGTTTGACATTCTAAGTTTGCTGTAGACCGTAGATCAAGGGTAGGCAATTATTTTGCTTGGCGGGCCACTTAAGTTTTGATGAGCTATTGAGAGCTCTACACACACAGTCTTTCAAAAGATATCATTTTAAAAAATTATAGAAAAAAACAAGTCATGTACTAAAAAGCAGCTACTATAACACATTTAAATTTTATTTCAAAAAATATTTTTTGTCCTTATTTATGTTTTTTGAGTAGTGTATATAGAGGTGTGCGGGCCGGGAGCGCCCCGAGCCCTTTTTCGCGCTGCACGCGGGCTGTGGCTAGCAGTCCGGGCACGCGGGGGCAGAGAGGGGAGGCTTTCGCTCTGGAATTAGGCACGGACACGTATCGGTAGTTTAAAAGATTGTTTACTTACACCGAGATGGCAGTGGTGTAGGCTGGAAAGCTTGCTTCAGTTGCAGTTACAGAGAAGAAAAAGGAAAGAGGCGGACAAGAGTTCTAGACTCGTGAACTCTAGCCCAATCCGGCTGAAGGCTCTGAACACGCGAGCCCATCGCGTCAGCCGAAGAAAGTACTCGTCCGGAAGAGCTCTGAACCAACTCACGCGAAGTTTGCTAGGCTCCGTGGGTCCAGTTCTTTTGCGCGCGGGTGGGGTACGTCTAGGAATTCTATCGGCGATGGGGAGAGGCTAGAGATTGATTAGATCTCCGTAGCCTGCTTCAAATGCACTGGGTCCGTGAGGATCCGCAGCGCTTAGAGATCTTTACACAGCATGAAGTCTCCTCCTCCCTTGTTCGTGGAGTCCTCCAACTTGGGCGGAAACCACTCAAGCCTTTTATATGG